TCACCTAATTATATGTGAATTGTGTTTATTTTCTTAGTTCTTGTCGTACTTATTGCACCAAATGGTAGTAAGGATTTCATAATATGTTTCTTGGTTTCAAGGAAGCTAGTCCAGCGACATTAGTAGCCTTCGCCTAGTTGCCGTAAGATTAATACGGAGCAGAGGACAGATAAAACGAGACGTCAAAGATGCAATTTGGATGCCGTGGGATGGAGTGTGTAGTTTTTTTCAGGACGGTAAGGTGTACGAATAAGTACTGAAGACGTCAGGTGTCCAAACTGTTATCAACAACTAACTTATATTAATGGTATTATTTAATTTTACTGCTATCAATCTCAGTTCACAATGGTTTTTGTTTTCTAGCAGAAGTAGCGAAGTTTGTGCGAAAGCTCTCATCTGTCTTGATTTTTGAATCAATGACTGTAGTGGCCAGTAAAAATGAGCTTACATGGGGAATTTAGAATTTATTGAAAATGTTCCTCTACAAGAAGTTCTCCATATGCCTTTTATGGGATAAAGTTATAGATGAAATTCTATGTAGAATGTGGATTTCACGGTAAGCGTCCCCTCAAAAACATCGGCAAACATCTGTCAAAGCAAAGATTAGGTCACCCATTTCCTTAAAAAAGTAAAACAATAAACTAACCAGAAGCATGTGTGAAACGTGGTGGCTCATTCATCTTGGCTTTCCCACTCATCTCGGCTGTTTTCGATTTTTCTGGAAATGACCCCTTGATCAGCTCACATTTGAAAAAGAGCAGCAATTCTTGAAGTGAGCACTTAGCAACTGCGCGCAACCTAATGCCCAAGTGGGACAAATGACGAGGAATGTCAGAAACGACATATTACGCAAAAGCTAGGCAGCTATATGTCAGAACGGAACACGCTCGTAAAGCATCTACGAGCAATTCTACAGCTATTAACTGGTCACTACTCTCCAGGGATCGTTCGAAACAAGCAATTTAAAATATTACTCCACCACTATTTCCATTTGGCATTGGATTAAAGGATGATTATGAAAGTATGCTCAGTGATGATTTAATACATTATAATAAATGTGTTGTGAGCTCACCAGTTGCATTCACTTTTCCATTCATCTTCTTTTCTTGTTTCTCCTTCTTTTGTGCATCGGCAGCTTTCTTCTTTCGCAAATCGGCGATGAAGTCTTCCCGATCCTAAATACTTCTATTACTTCGGGTAGACCGTCTAATGCTATAAAAGACTGGATTGTTCACTGCAAAAACCCAAAAAATTTATCATTATGAACCTGAGCAACAAATCTGAAATGTCGTACAAGCAAATTGATAATATTACTGAACAATGCGACAAACTACACGTCATAATTGGTTTATTTTGTGGGCTTTCGCCTG